GTCATAGAGTAAGTAGGTGAAAAGAACTGTAGTTGAAAATGCTGTTTCCAATTAAAAGGGACTTCTTCATATGAAAGTAATTTAAATATATACAAATATATGAAGTTTGTGAGATAAAATAACCATATAGCTTTCACAACAAAACTTCCTACCATTGCACATAGTGTAGTTCAATAATATACCTGAGTCCTCAGTATGTGCTGGAGGCAGCGGAAACAAAGAGAATAAGAAAAATTAGGAAAGTTTATGCCATGAAACATTGTCTTAAAGAAATTGTTTCCTTTTATGCCTAAATTGAGTTATCAATTATGGGTAAAAACTATTTTAGTAGATGAGAGAGACTGCAGAGGTTCATTGATCACAGATTTCAGGAAGTGGGTGGAAATTTAGATGTAACTGGAATAACATTAAGAATTTATATAGTGAGCTGGGCATTTGATTCAATTAAATAACCCTTTGTTGATAACCTATTCTGTGCAAAGATCTCTGATGAATTCTAGAAAAACAATGATATATAAGTAACGGCCACATGGTTTAGAAATTCAAACCAAAGGCAATAATAAATATGAGAGAAAGGGGAATAATCACATCATTTTAATAGTATATTTTAATTATATGTATTTAATATGTCAATTTGTAATTTTATTTGCCTTGACCAGTCTATCTTAAGCTGTAAACTTCTGGAAGGCAAGATACGTATTTGCTGATTACAGTAATGATTTAATCAAATATTTTTCAATTTAATGCTATGCCACTTTTATACTGGAAGAACAGGCAGTAATATTTTCATCATTCTGACACTGCATTTGTTCCCTTCCCACCCAAACCAAAAGAGGTAAGAAATGAAGGCAATCTTTATTTGCTTTCTAACTGAGCGGAAAGTTTGAAAAGATTTTTCTCATGTTTCGAAGAGGTGGGTATTTGTGGAGAACATAACTCCTTTTAGATACTTCTGGGGATCATTCAAAGCAATGGGAATAAGACTTGGGTCTTCACTGTACTAAGTGGGAAAATCTGTGGACCAATACCCTTCATCCTTAGACTCTTGTCCAGCTCCTTTAAGGCCTCTTTCTGAGCATCCTTCAAACACTGAAAAGCCTCAGGATCTTACCAGCACTTCTTGTGTGTTTATCTTCAGCATGGTGGAGTTCTCAGCAATGCAGAAATGTTCACAGCCTTGCCAACTTCTAATCTCTTTGTAGAACTGGTAGCACTTATTTCCATGCCATTTCCATTTTTCTGGGCAAGGGCTGCACCTGTGTCCTTGGAAAGAAACCAACTTTACCCAGGTCTGCTGTGTTTCCTCTCTTTAAATTATATAGTATTTGATGTCTCAAGAAAAAAACTGATTCCCTTTCTCTTAGATATTTAAGTAACTGCCGAGGCAATGATAACTATAAATATTTATGAAAGATCCACTATATGCCAGAAATTATAACTGGTGCTGAGCATACAGTAGAAATTAAAAGAGACACTAACTGCTTACACCTGGTATGAAATCTAGTAATGAATGACTGGATCTTCCTTGCCACTCACCTATGTAATTCAGCACATGAAGAAATTATTCACTTTCATAAAGCTGTTTTTATGTTCAGAAACTCAAAATGCATTGTATTCAAAAAACAAAGCTTCTAAAACTTTGCTCTTCAAAATCCTCTTATGTAACAGAAAATGGGATTTTTTTAAAATACAATATATACCAACATGATATGGGTCTTTTCTTACTCTAAACAAAAATAAATAAAATTTTTCAAAAATATTAAGATAAGCATGAAATCAGAGTGATAAATCTCCATGTGTCGGAAATTAAGCTGAGCATCCAACCCAGAGAAGCATCTACAAGGACTACGTGGGTAGCAGTTGCAAATACGGGAACTGGGCCCTGAGAGTCATGGTTTTAACATCTATGTGGGTA